GCAGACTTCATAAAGTCTTCACTTCTACATAATAATACGAACGCTGCGTTTGATTTAGTTGGTGTTCGTATTAAGTCGCGAGGTTGAATTGTATTCAAAAACGTGTCTATCTCGCCGACACAGTTTCTATGACAAAAACGTTGCGCAACGAAGCAAAAAGATTAGAGCAAACTCAATTTCTGCACGCTGGCGACTCAGGTAAACATTTTTGTGCGCTCAAAGATACATCATATTACCGTAAAGATGTTGTACGTACAATGTACCACTCTTGAAGTGTAATCAGTCTTTTTTTCTTTTTATCCATCATCTAGGACAATGTTTAGCTATTTAAGTGGAGTTTATGTTTACGTCATCGCATGGGCTCTTCTTGGACAAGACAGTGGAGATAGCCTGGGGCCTACACACCAATCAGATTTTGCGGTTAGTAAAATAATAGGCCGCGTAAGCCATTAGTTGATTTTCTTTTAAAGATTAGTCCATGTTTAGCGTGGTTTTGTCAGAGTTAACACTGGCACGATGAGTCACGAGCACACAGAGTTGTAAGAGACAAGGTGCAGGCCTCACTTCAAGAAATTTTGCTTACGAGAGAGGTGACAAGATTTTACGGTATTAAAAGTCGTCTCACTTTTGCCGCGCGTGATTGGCTGAAAACTTGCCATGACAACGCAGCACTGAAATGGGTTCCTCAATTACGCTTCAAATTTCATGATCAGGACTACAGTAATGAATCGCTGCTAATCTCTAACTTATTGCCATTCGCGCGTTTTAGACAACTTTTACTGCACACTAGATCATCTTTACGAGCTATTTACGGTTACATAGAGTTTTATGCTGGCGATGAAGGCAGGTAAATGTGTTTAATCATTCAAGGAAGTTTGTGAGTCACCGAGCAAGCTAGCTTTATGCGTGAGATGGCGACACCGCTTTTTGAAAAGTTTATGAGTTTGATTAAAGATGAAATTTGTCTAAATTCTTCGGCTCTTTCTTTGCTCGATACTTTGGAAACACGGAATGAATTTCTTTTGTTTCTGAGCGGAATGTACGGCTTAAAAGTCGAAGTATTGAAGTAATTAACTCGCCGGCTAATGGAAAACATCATTGGGTGCCAGTATCCATGGCAATTCTTCGCGCGTACTGGGAATTTATATTTTAATCAAAAGTATCACGATGGGACTTACGAGAGAAACGTCAATATTTTACGATATTATCGTGTTACTTTTACCGCGCGGGATTGGTTGAAACCTTGCCATGACAACGCAATACTGAAATGGGTTCCTCAATTACGCTTCAATATTACAGGACCTGTTCAGAACTTTACAACGATGAATCGCCGCTTATCTTTAAATTATTGGCATTTGCACAGTTCAGACAACTTTTACTGCACATTAGATCATCTCCACGAGCTATTTAATGTAAAGGGAGCTTTATGCATGTATGTTGTTACACTTAACATGTAACTCTTTCTGCTGTTCGTGGTTACCTTTTGGCCTCTGAATATGTTGCTATATGCATTTCCTCTCTATTTTACAGTATCTCTCTTGGATTGCAACTGGAACAGGAGTCCTTTTTGCAAACATTTTCTACATTGGGACAAAGGAACCCCGGAAGACACGTAAACGAAAACCTAGTGCATGTTTTGATATGGTATGTGAAGACAGGCTCAGTTGTTTATCTCCTTAAAGTTGGTAAATTAACCGGTGTACAAAAGCTGCATGTGCCAAAGTTTTTAAGTGTTAGCCATTCGTCAGAGCGGCTCGCAAAAACTCGGTACCGCTATTAATCTTCTATTTCACAATCAATAAAGTAATTCCACCTGCCCTTCGACAGGCAATTACTTTGTAAGTCAAATTTTTTTCTTGTTATCAATGCCTTCTAAGGTTCTCAAGGTGTCGTAAGTACTCTAGTTAGCTATCAGAGAGAAACTACTATGGGACACAATTTTACAAAGGAATGTATGCAATTTGTGATTCTGTGTTAAGACTATGACCGCATTTTGACATGATTAAAACTAAGCTTTAGATTTTATTTCGTTTAGAATGTTGGCGGATTATTCATGGTTGCGTTTGAAATGGAAAATCAAAGTAAGTCTAAAGACAATATTTCGAGCGTTCAGTTTATGTTTGTTTTTAAGTTTTTTTTATCTGTTATTGTCTTTATCTTTTCGTAAAACGGTTACCATCAACGATAATGGATCTTTGCTTTGCCTCCAAACGTTTTCCGGGAAAACTGTGGGCCGTTCAGAGTTTTGACGGGACGTGGTACAAACAAAGCTGTCCTATCCAAAATGGGAGACTTTCTGGTTGAAATCTTAGTTTTGGAGAATTTTTTCTCAAGTTTTTATCTTATTTTCACTTGTTTGAAATTGTGTATGCGAATTTTGATAAAGGACTGCTACGTTACTGAGATGAAAGGATGGTGCCTTTGCATCCTGGCTCCTCCTCCTAACGCGTTTTCTTTATTGCTGATTGTTCTTTTAGAGTTGAACGGAAATGTGATAGTACATTGTTCGTGTTCGCTCAAAATCCCGTTCACTAACAAAATGATGAAAGCAATCTCGCCTTATATTGCATAAGGATTCTCGACGGCCCAGATTCACGAGTGAAAAATGACAATAAAAGTTGACAGATACTCGTGATAATACATTGTTTGTGACTAGCCACGAGCAATGCACTATCACAAGTAACTGTGAACTTTTATAATAATTTATCTTATTTTTTTTCTTTTGATATAAGACTCACGAAAATCCAGTCTTGTTCATTCAATTGTTGACATGTTTGTGACTTCGTCGAATGAAAACCCAGACCAGAAGGAAGAAGGACATCAAAACACAGTGGATCATGAAAATCGTCGGAGGAAAAGAAGCTCTGTGCAGAAATTTGTTGAAGCCTTATTCTATGATGCATATGAAGGAGACGAAATTGATCAAAGTTCATCACAAACTGAGACTGAGAAATCATCTCAGGATGATCAGCGCGGGGATGCTCCAAAAAAAATGGTTCTAGGACTACAGAAGTTAGACCGTGGTCGTAAGAAGAGCTTGTTAGTGCGTGTTATTGATGGACTCCTATCTAGATCAGACCACAGCCAACAAGATTTGTCAACTGAGAGCATCGAAGACCACGTTAGAGTCAACATTGCAGATGAAGAATATGCACTTGGCGAAAACTGGAGGCAAGAAGGGATCCAGGAGATACGGGGAGAAGACAACTGGGACAGCAACACTACAGCAGATTCAGTTAAAAGTGCAATCGAAATCGACCAAGAAGACAAGCCTACAACGGTTTCAGCCAAATGTAGGCAACGACGAAACGGAATTGTGTCGAGTACAATGGATGGACAACTTGGTCTACCCAACTTTGGTTTTGAAGATGAAAG